TGGAATGTTCCTTCGTCATCACTCCATTCATGGACAAGTGCAGGAGTAGCCTTTGGGCTTGGTGCTTCAGTGTTCGGAGCAGTGTTGAAGAGATGAGGATCGTGACGTTTGTTGCATTTGTCTCCGTACCGACACTTGCCCTTGGCCCAGTGCCAGCATGGTTCATCAATCTTTTTGGTCTTGTTCGCTGGAGATTGACTTCTCGGAGTTCCTGGTTTTCGACCATTACCTTTCGTGTTCTTGTTCGCATCAAACACCTTTTGGTCGTGACTGTATTCACAATCTTTGCCTTTTCTGCATGCTTTCTTGATGAAGTGGAAATGACATGGGATCTTCTTCTTCTTGGATCTAGGACTGGCGCTTCGGCTGTTTGGTCGTCCATTTCCTTTCCCTTGACCTTTCCCTTTTCCTTTTGCATGCTGTTTCGGCTGAGGTGATGGTAGAACTGGAGCTGCGTCAGCCTTGGCCTTCGCCTTAGGTGCTGCCTTCTCCTTGGGAGTGGCTTTAGGCTTCGCTTTCGGATTGGCATCTGGCGCAGCAGCAGTTGGATTTGGTGCAGGAGCAGTGGGCTTGCCACCACCTGCAAACTCTCTTGCGTACTTCTCTCTAGCGGCCACATGCTTGTCTTCTCTGATTCTAGAGATGTGCCTTTCGATAACGTCCAACAGGTAGCGATAGCTTCGTCTTTGATCTCCTTCAATCCATGATTCGCACTGCTTAATGTCGAACATCATGAGACTCGAATTTCGAATCTTCTTGTATAGAGCGTCACGAAGCCAATCGTCAGGAGGTACATCATCCGGCATCATGTTTGATACCATCTCCATCCACTTCTCGTAGAACACTTCCAGGTTGGAGTCACCGAGATACTTCATCGATACGATGTGCTCCATGGTGAAGGCTGTCTCTCGTTGACCTGGTGTTCTGAAGTGTTCCAGAATCATAGCCAAAATTTCTCGTCCCATAACGTAGGTTCCTCTTCGACTATGACTCTGTGTTCTCAACCTCAGTTTGATTGCTACATGACGAGCAACATCACCGGCTTGCGCTATCACGTTCGACAATGCGATTGACAACTTGGCGTCGATTGACTGATATCGTTGCCCACCGCTGTCATTCAGCAGCTCAATGTCAGGATTTGGTCTTATAGCCGGCTGTAGCCATGCTTCCCACGCAGCTTTGTCTCCATCATTAGCGGCAAGAACAACACCCTTGATGAGATCTGATTGCCAAACTCCAAGGTTCTGTTGCTTCGGCCATGGGCTAACGTAGACTTTGTCAGCCTCCCGTCTCGATATTCTCGGTACTTCTTCTGCCGTGTATGCCGCTGTGGAGATATCATCTGCTGAATCGCGTTGCGATCCTCGAACTGAAGGCAAACCAGGAGGTTCTGGAGGTGGTCCTGGACCGTCGGGCCCGAAAGGGTCAGAAGGCCCATCAGGGTCAGGTGGACCGCCCCATCCGCTCGGAGGCTTGTAATAGTCCTTCTCAGTTCCATCGGCGATCTTGTTGTCAACTTCTTTCAGCAGATCGGTGATTCTTTTGTTTGATTGAGAAGGTTGCTGTTGAGAAGATCCAGCATGTCCGCAGTAAGATTGAGCAGCATTTGTCTCGTAGGTCAACTCCTTGTCGATCTGTGATACCCAAGATTTTAGGATAGCGTTCTCAGAGTTAGCCTCACTCACCTCATTCTCCAGTTTGTCGATGACCAGTCTTGATGCGAGATCATAGTTGGGGATACCTGCCGAATAGGGAAGTGTATCAGGGCTAACCCTGGACATAGATGTTTCAGAATCCTTGAGACTCTTTCTCAGTTCATCTAAGTGACGTTTCATGTCAATAATCTCAGAATTCTTGATACCAATCTTTTCATCCCTATCCTGAATTTCCCCCATGAACATGCATGATCTCTCATATTGTTGAACACCACTAGCCAATTTCATTTTGCACTCACTTTCTAGTTCAGATCTTAAAGTTCGGACTTCAGCATTGGAGAAGGACGACGCCCCTACATCCGCAACTTCAGTCAATCTCTCTTTTAACAATATGTTCTCCTGTAAACATTCATGAACTTCATGGTCAAGATCCTGAACCCTGATTTGAGCTATTTTGGCTTGGTTTCGTAGATCTTCAACAAGCATCTCATCAGGGCCACGACCGTCGGTCGTCGTGCCCTGAGTTAATGATCTTCGCAACTTCACGTTCTGCTTTTTGATCTCATCCTTCAACTCACAGTTCATCTCCTGCTCGTTGGCGTAGAGCTCTTCATAGTGTTCTGCCCTTGCGATCGAATTTGCACTAGCTTGTGATTCAAGCCTCAGGTGTGATATCGCTTCGGCCTCATGGTTCCTGTATGATGCAATTCTTCTGACAGTATCATGTTCAGTGTTTCGGTGCTTCAGATCACTTTCCAACTTGGCCTGATTTGCCTCGAAAACCTTCTTTCTAGATTCTCTAGTGATCTCTTCAATACTGCTTTCATACAATTCGGCCTGTTTACGAGATTGAACTAGAGCTTCACTCAATAGCTGATTCCATTCAGACAATTCATGAACTGCAACTGATTGTTGTTGGCTAATCAATTCAAGTTGATTGCTTGAGAAGGATGCCATTTCGGATCGATTACGATATTCCATGATTGAGTTCTGGAAACCCATCTGCATTTCTTGACCTTCAGTGTACAATCTGTTGGCAATATCGGTAGTTAAGACATTGGTCTGATGAAGTTGTTGCAGTCTTGCCTCCGTATTACCCAATAGTCCTTGAAGGTGATGTACTTCATCCTTGTACTCTTCCTGGATCTCCATACCACGTTGATGAATCCGTCTTGCACCGTGTTCCATCAGGGCACCTCGGCGTTCAAGGTCTTGGATGCGTATTGTTGCACCTTCGTCTTCCTGAGATGCTACCATTAGTTCTGCTTGATACTCTGCAACCTCATTTGCGGAACATGACAATCTATGACTGAGTGCATTGACCTCATCAAACACATTCTGGTTGTGTTCCCGAAGATATTCAGTGAATCTGATCTCGATGTCATGAATCAGTTGGTCTCTTGATGCAGCATATGCTTCCATGTTGTTCAACTGATTACGTAGGGATTGACATTGTGTCCGTAGTTCTTCTATCATGGCAATAGGTTCACTAGCCACAGAAGTATCCGTTGATCTCCTCTTAACACGAGTGTCCCCGGTCCTCTCACCAATTCGGTCGGTTCCGGCCCTGGTGGATCTGTCCCTTGGGGTAGTTCGTCCTCGAGATGTTCGGTGCCCTTGACGGACAACATCACTTCGAGCACTGTTTCGAGAAGATCTTGGTGTACTTTGGATGGATATTCTTCGTCTGTTCGATGTAACTTGCCATCCGGACTGTGTAGTTCGGGTAGAGCGTATCCCACCACTGTCTGCCGTGTCGCCAGGGGAAGATTGAGTGACCTCCTCGACCGGCATAGCAGTGTTCTCATTGAAGGTAAACTGCGTGTTGCGCGAGTCTCCGCTGCCGCCCTGCATCTTTGCGATGATGAGCTGATTGGTCCTTTGCGTCCACAATCTTAAACTCAGACGGCCCGGCTACCAGCACGCAGGTACTCCTCTTCCGACGGAAGAAGTGAGCCCTTACGGCTGATAACCTGTGAACAATTTGATCCTTGTTCCGGATGTTATCTCGATCAGGTAGTACCCTTGTTACCGGTAGCCGACGATTGCCATGCAGAGTCACGCGAAGCAGCCCTTTTCTCCATACGCTTGAGCCAATGTATGGCGGTAATTGTCAGATTGTAGATGATACATGTTACACATGCATAACTACCTCGTTCCCTTTAACACCCATGATAGTCCCATTTACTGATGGTTAAATCCCAATATATCCAGCTTCTATTGCTACATCGTTGGTATTGTATCCCGATGAAATATTCCCACAAAAAAAAAGGTGCCTCCATACATAAGTTGCCTTGCAAACTCCAGTAAATCTAGATATATCCACCATAAACCTTGGTTATAGTTACTTACAAACAAACTTAGCGATTCCGAACTGGGGCACCACCTTTCATATTGTATACAGTAATATGATTAATAAGATGATTAGTAATGTGCTATTGTTAGATATCCCATTCTATTTGATACCTGAATGATATTCCCATGCTATCCCTATGATCATGGTCAATCTTTGATAGTCATCCAAAAAAAAACCTGTGCTGCTTATGAATATGTTCCCTTTATAGAAAAATCCAAAGGATTAAACTAAGACTATCCGAGGTCCGAGGTTAGGCATATCCCGGCTGAAATATGTCCCAGGGTTTTCTTCAATGTCCTGTGGATGGGCAAGGGAAATCCTGCACCGGTAACTAATGGGAACGATGGTAACACGGCTAAAATTTCATGGGATTATAATGGGATGAATTGTCTACCAACTTAGTAAGTAGGTTGTAACCCTGGTTATAAATGGGCCAAGTAGGGTTGGTTCACTTATAAGTGGAGTTATAAGCCACTTTCTGGGATGAACCACCAAGTAGGGATGGTATATTCCCATGAAATATTCCCATATGAGCAGTGTTCTAAATCCCTCTATCATTCCATTATACTGGTTGGTTTATAGGTATTCCCCATTCTTGGATTATTATAGTTCCCGATATATGAAGGGTAGTAGAATCCCCCAACTAATCATCAACCAGGGTTTTGTGACACTGATCCTGACTATTGACCACCATTGAACCAATATTAACCACCATTGAACCAGTATTAACCACTATTAACCACTATTAACCACTATTAACCACTATTAACCACTATTAACCACTATTAACCACTATTAACCACTATTAACCACTATTAACCACCATTAACCACCATTAACCACTATTAACCACTATTAACCACTATTAACCACTATTAACCACTATTAACCACTATTAACCACTATTAACCACTATTAACCACTATTAACCACTATTAACCACTATTAACCACATGTGTTCTTCATTTTGAGATTTCCACGCCACTGACCTCGTCCACATCTTCCGGCTGGGTCTTCAAGAAGTACTCCACCATGGCCACACCGCGAGGCACGCGCCTCTCGCGGTATGCAAATACCGTCAAGAGTAGGGAATGGAACTATGAAACACGGTGTTTAGTCCAACTTAGTCCAACTTGTTTAAGGAATATCGGGGAATATGTATGCAATATATATATATACATAATACATACATATAACATGTGTGTATATATATATATCCCCACAAAAAAAATGAGGATTAGGCCCCCATACATTCCAGGAATAGTAGGATATAGCTGCATGTAACCAGCAAAAAAATATCGATGGCTATCAGCGATAGGGTTCAACTGACAAACTATAAAGGGAATTATTCATCAACGATAAGTTGATATTTAGCCATCCCATCCCCTTTCACGCTATTCCGTTTATTCTGGGAATAGGGGGGTGTCACCATCCAACAATAGGGATTTAACAATCCTCAATGGTGTTTAGACCATAGATATAAGACCCCAAAATGAACAGATCCAATACTAGAGCTGGGATTGGTACTGTTGCTCGGAAGGGATTATATAGCCAGGGCGCCAAAAATGGAATCCAAACTGTCCGGCTGTCCGGCTGTCCATCCTGGGCTGAGAATTTTTCTCTATCAAAAAGGTAGGATGTGTCCCATGTTTTCAAATCATGTTTCAGCCCCATGTTTCACTCATGCAAGGTGGTGCCCCCTAGATAGCTAAGTTGGTTTATAACTCCAATAACTATGGTTTATAGTTGATATATCTATAGTTAATGGGGTGTATAAACCAATTTATAACTACAGGGCACCACCTTGTGAAATTCAGGTGAAAACTCCCCATGGTAAAACTGCGGCGATGTTCTCTGCTCCAGGTGACCGGCCTCTTGTCAGAGATTCGATCGGAGAGCTGCTTCGTGAGGATCGAGACGGTGTACCTGAAATCCCAGCAACGCGAAGAAAAATCCCAAAATCAGATGGAGTTGACCATGAATGCAGAGTATTGTATGGTTAGAACACGTTATAACCAGAATTGGAGAAGTTAGCTAGGCTAAGTTGGCTTATATGTATTTATATATATATATATGTATATATTACTTTTACATACTTTTACCAAGTATCTATGGTTACAAGTTGGTGGATCGAAGCATCAAATTGGGCATTGATGCGAATACGATGATGCTACAAGGTAGTGCCGTGGTAATCGCTGATCTGGTTTAGTTCAACAATATCTTATACTATCCGCTGTTACCATCCGCATATACCCTTCAGTACATTAAAAGAGTCAAATGAAAAACTCATGAAAACTCACCAGCAGAAATGCAGATCATTCTCCGAACCTGACACAAGCATGGACATCCGTATCGTTTTGTTACTTTGCCGGAGGGTATAGCCATGAGTTTTTTCGAGACAACTGCGGAAATTATTATTTTTCATATGTAGATTTGTTCCCTTTCATGTAAGTTCACATATACTGCCACCTCACAAGAACCAGAAATTTCTCTGAGCGTTTCATTGGCGACTGCCAGTAGGTAAAATGATCCCAAACCAGAGAAGATTCTACTGATGGTGACGCCCTGACCTGGATTCCTCCCACCACGCTGGTCTTCATGCAAGTTTACGAAAATACCAAAAACATCTGCCAAATCCCACCCAACCAGGCAAGCCATTTCCAGCAGAATGATCACAACTTCTGAACCCTGCAAAAACCGGTATACCCGGTATAGGTATTCTATATGGTTCTTCTTGGTAATTGTGCACAGATTCATACATCAACCAGGAATCGCGATTGGCTTCGTGTTGTCCAATTGCCACACTCCAAATCAGAACCCAAATCAGAACGCTGCTTTTCCGTAGCAACATCCACTGTGGAACCTGCAAAGGCCCAATTTTAATGTGACCCACGTGACCCTTGCGACTCCGAGACAGCACCGTCGGGAAGGCGCACTTGTCAGCCTTCAAGTTTTGCTTCTGCATCTCCTGCGAAAATCCAGAACTTCGGGAAAGTTCCAGATTTTTTTATACCCCCATTGACCTCGCATCATTCAACGATGTGGGGAAAATGCGATCGGATCATTTTGGTATGCCCAAAGGGAATAACCATGCATTGAAAAAAAAAAGGTCTCAAAGTTGGGAATCTGATTCCATCATGCTTCAGCAACGTTGGGGTTTTCCCTTTGATTTGTCCATAACACATGCTTTTTTGGTAGGTGAAGCAAATCCCCAGTGCCCATTCATATATAGTTCATGTGCAATAATCCCTATGTAAAATATATGTAAGTAATGCTCTTGTAAATTCTGATAATTCCAATTATTGGTATCAAATATTGGAAAATATCTGTGTTCCGTGGGTGAAAAACTATTCCGATCTATATAATCCTATCCTCCTTTTGAATAGCATATGAACCCCTGAACAGGTCCAGTACTCAACCATGGTCTTGTGTGGGCTGGTAGTCAATATTATATACATATACATATACATATACATATACATATACATATACATATACATGTACATGTACATGTAATATGTATATACATATACATATCATATACATATACATATACATATACATATACATATACATATACATATGTATATACATATGTATATATATATACTATGATTATTTATCCATTTCTTCCTGTCTTCGGGTGGGACTGTATGACAAAGGTCCTCCAGGATGTCCCAGGCTTCATCCAAATGAGATCCAGATCTGGCGGCCGTGTCCATCAGCAAGTTCAGCGATGCCTAGCGCGGAACAACGCGCGACGCGCTACGCTGTTTCGAAAATGCCGGGAGCTTGCAGCAGAAATGCCAGAAATATACTTCAGGTATGGACATATATGATCATTTTTCTGGATTCATTGACGGCGTGTGAATGGACATAGTTGATGTTACCCAACGTACTTATCAGATCTTATCAATATGAAGCCTAGTTGGTGCTGTCCAATTGTTTCTTGGCTTGTGTATGTTGTAGCTGCAAAATGGTGCAAATATATACTGGTGATCTTCTACTGTATATCACTGGGGACGAAAAAAGGCGCCAATTAGATGCACAGCTTGGTATAAAGCTCGTAATCCCATCTACCTATACTTCACCACCATAAACCCTACCTATACAGTTCAACTGTGGGCCAGCAACTTGAAGATCAGGATTTTGTTGAAACAGCCCAAACACCAATTTTCTGGACATGTTGCTGGTATATGTGCTTCAAATGAATGATTTGCAATGGACACTTGATGATGTATGAAACTATGCAGGATAGTTCTTGAAATGGCAACATTAGAATTTGATACAAGCAGATCTCCTAGATCAAAATCACAATAAATTAGGGGGTTGAACCTCCGTTTCACCACCTCAGGTGTTGCACTTCAAAATGGGAAGTATAGGGACATTCTGTTTTGGGGACTAAACCTATGCACTTTTTTTTGCAGGGGATGCTACAGTCCTGGGTAGGGGATGCTTCATTGCCAAGGGGCTGGGTGTGTCAATAGGCCCAAAAAAATGTGATGCTGGGAAATCCGTTGGAGGTTTGCTGGGAAAATCATCGAACTAAATGGTCCATCATCATTTTCCCCAAAACTGCTCGAACTTGGGGCTAAATACACCGATTTGATGCCTTGAAGCTGGTGAAAGCCCCAATAAAACTGTCTGTCCCCTGAAGTGTTCGTGATCCCTACAGTTGCCTTTCAATGCGCCTTCAATATGTGGCCACTTCAAGACAGTTCGCCAGTTGGGCCAATTGCAGGTTAGTTCTACCCTCTGGTAAACAGCCACTTTTCACCATGGAAAATCACCATGCTATCAATGGGTAAATCAACTATTTCCACTGGGCCATAGCTTCAATAGCTACGTTTGACATAACCAGAGGGTATACTAAAATATTACCAAAAAGTAACTATAGGGTTTATATGGATATAACATGATATAACATGATATAACTATAGAAATATAGCTATTCTCTCATTCTATCTTCATATTCAGCTGGTAGAAATCCACCTTTATAAAGAGCTCATTCCATCCGAGTCCATCCGAGCTAAATCCCATTAAAAAAAAAAAAAAACACCATTTTTCACCACCATGATTCATCCCCTTGAATCCATCGTAAATCCCATCAGAAATCTCATCACAATCCCATGAAATAAACACCATGAAACACCATCAAATCACCATGAAACACAATGTCATAAAATAATGGTGTTTAAAATGGGATTTAACACAATTAATCACCATTAAACACCATCAAATCACCATTAAACACCATCAAATCACCATTAAACGTCATCTTTTTCTGTTTCCCACCTTCCAAAACTCTGCTCTTTGTCCGGTCCGGTCCGGCCTCATTGGGCGCAACGCCAAAGCGGAGCATCTCGTTGCGGAGCCATTGGGCCTCGGTTCCCGTCGCGGGGTTCCCGTCGCGGGCGGAACATCGAGAGTTTGTGGTCCCCAAAGATGCTGAATAGAACTGCAACAATTATCAGTTTTATTGTTATATCTATTATGGAATATACTATTGCAAAATTATGGATAATGATGGAATATACTAATATGGATAATGATGGAATATACTATTATGATCTATTATATCTATTAGTTGGCTCCATGATCTAAAAAATCATCTCAGTTGATTCATGATCTTTATGGCTGATCATGTTGATAATGTATGAAAATGTTGAGGATGATGAGGATGATGAGGATGATGAGGGTGATGAGGATGATGAGGATGATGTGATTAACCAAACAGAACAAAAATTGGGGACCAATATTAACCAAACTTATATATTGAATCTCAATTGAATTAACCAATATCTATGGTGATTCAATGAGATTTATCGGATTTTACCAAACAAAATAGGGGATACAATGGTATATAATGAAATATATTAATAATATGAGCAAATTGATATTGGTTGATGTGGTATACCTAACAAACAACCATCCCTGATTGAAGTTTAGGATTGGGTATAGCCCTATTTGAGGCTTATTCTTGGGATAAAGCAGTATGATCATGGTCAAAACATGGTACATGTGTTACATGGATCATGGCTATCCATCCCATTTCATGAGAATCCAAACAGAATGGTATATAAATCCTTAATGGGTGTTTTTATCCATGTTTTGACCTTGGCAAATAGACTGGTCAATAGCCACCAAAAAAGCCAACTGGGATATGATTTAATAATAAAAAACATAACAGCTATATATATATAGGTATTAACCTGCAGATTATAGTGTTGGAACAATGTAGGGTTTCCAGTCGATAACTAAGTTGCTCTAATTTATAGCTAGATTTATTGTAGTTACAGTAGATGGGGTTGTAAACCAACTTATGACTGCGGGGTGGTGATGATCACATTTAGCGATCCCCAAATATACAGAAATTGTGAGACCAGGAAGTGAAAAAGGTTTGGAACAGTTCAGGTGTTCAATGGTTCTATCTTTTTGGGGTTGCTATGTAACATAATCGTTTATACCATTGTGGATGTAATTATTACATAAGTGATTGTTTACCCAAATAACATGGTTTAAAATCAAAATAAATCAAAGTGTACTTAAAATAGTTATTCATAACATATGATTATTATCATTTGGATCATAAGAATAACCAAATAATTCCAGCAAAATGACTCCTACAATCATAGCTTACCAGCGTATCCTGCAAAAACTAATGATGCTTTGTATGATTATTCAACATCTCAGTGATTCCTGGTTCAGTGGTTGCATTCAACATTTTTCTATTATAACTAACTATTGCTTCTCATATAAGTGGGCCTGGGTTCAGCAACCATGGTCGGGTCACCCACTTTTTAATGAGGTAAAGCTCAGCCACATAGTTCTTCTTTTCCCACAAACCAACTGGGATGTACAGCTGCTTCGGAAGTTGCAGATCAACAAAAATTGTAAGATCTTACCTGAGACCAGTCTATACTGATCTTGCCCCTGACCTCTTAGATATCTCGCATACTGCAAAAATGCAGCATGCGAATACCAGTAAACTAACATAACTATGGAAAATCACAATTTTTAATGGGTAAATCCACTATAAATGGTGGATCTTTCCATAGTTATGTGGCTGTTTGCCAGAGGGTATTGCACAACGACAAAATCCGAATTATCCGGATGATTCAGAATTGCCTGTTGTGTCAACAAACATGCTGATATAATCTCTATGTCTATACATATGTGAACATGTAGCCCATGGCAATCAGTGATACTTGGAACCCAAATGACCGTTTCTTTTTAATGTGGCTAGACATCCATTGTTCAAGGGTCAAAATCCCTCGATTTATACGGCTTTTTTGGGTTACAGACAGAGATGATAAAAATGTTCATGGAATAAAACAGGTAGAATTAGTAGAATTAGTTTACCTCATCCCAATTGATCTTGCCAAATTATATACATATACATGTACATGTACATATGCATATACATATACTTTTACATATAAGTATATGTGTATGTATATGTATGTATATATATATAGTGTGTGTGTATCTATATATATATATGAAATCCAAGGTTTTTATCTAACTTGCTGACTGCCCCAAACTTCAACAACTCCATCCCGTCCGTCCCTTTATGGCTCCGGTCCTCTTCAAAGCCACTCCGGGACAAAAGCCCACGCAGCAATGCATTGAATGCAGCCGAGCTCACGAGTCGTGCCTCACCGTTTAACTCGCTGTTTTTCGCTATGCCGTTTTTTGGGGGCATAGCATGGCATAATTTTTTTTTGCGGCCCAGCGTCGAAAACACAGGGACTTAGTGACTTACCATGCAATTTTCTTGTGGCAGAAGGATGCAGAAGGAATAAAAAAATCATGTGGATCAGGGGGTACTGGATCATGGGATATACCCATGCCCCCAGTCATATCCCCTAGGCCCTTTTTAAATACCTCGGCGGTGGCCCAGGGTATTACTGTAAGATAATGTATTTAGGGGCAGGGAAGGGAGTAATAAAGCCATTTCAAACATGATGAAACGTTTGTCGAAATCAAACACATTCCAACATAATTTCCACCAGTACTATACCTTTCCCAGAGTTCAGGAAACCCAAAAAATCAATTTGGGGGTACCGAAAATCTTCCCTTAAACTTCATTGAACCTTACAAACTCTGCTCCCGAGGACATCCCATCTTCCAGGTTGAGGCTCGAGCATCAGAGCTTGCTTTGAGCTCATCCAGAAAGCTCAGTGCCTCAAGATCCAAGGGGTGGATGATGTCATCACTAGTGATCTGGAGGAAAAATGAATGGTCGAGGTTAGGGCCGAAATCATAAAAATGTCCTGAGAATTTGTGCGCTAAAAATTACTGTGACCACAAACAAGATTTGACCATCACAGCAAGTGTGTCACACTGTCAATGAGATTGGCATCCAAGATAGATCTGATCCAAAATGGTCCCCAGAAAGATTTTTCCCACTGCCATCAGTGCGCCTGCGCCACCTGGTTCAAAGTGGCACTGGACTCTAGGTAGTAGTGCCTTCACAAATACGATCCACTGGATCCAGGACGATCCACTTCGACTCCCAGGTTGCGGAGGCACCAAAAATGGCATTTGCGAAGCGAAAGATGTTTTTTCCATGAGGGTCCCATAAATGCAGAAATTCCATCGATTTGATCTATGGATCAATTGATGCATCAATATGAACTAGATGGATGGCCACTAAATCCTTCATCCCCCCGCAAAAAAAATACCCGTCAGGTCGTCAGGGTCTAAATAGTCTAAATCATGGGCAAACTCAATCGATGTTCATCGATTTTTGCTATCCTTCGCCCCCCAAAAGTGGCATGATATATTAATAGGTATATGTTACTATAATTGGGATGCTATAGATATATGATCATTGATTCAGCTTTAAAAAAATCGCCCATGACTCAACTGACTGAGTTTTCTGACAGCATCGCTCGCATGCCTCCAAAGGCCTGGCAGTGGAGATCATATGTAAACGATCCATTCTTATCCACTATCAACAATAGTACTCATCCCATATCTAATATATATATATATACATACATATATATATACATATATATATACATATACATAAATATATATATATCAATAACTATTATGGATATCGAGAATGAAGATCATTTCTCAGTCTTGGCTGAGATGTGAAGAGCAGCCTGATTTAGCGTCTGTTTGCTGTTAAGCCATGCCCATGTTGTCGTGTCAAAATGTATATACATCACCCAACTTGGGACGAAGGTGAGCCACAGTAACTTGACCATGGCCATGTGTCCCCTGAAAACATCGAAATTTTCTTTGATACCTGATTTTGTTTGAGTTACTGTTGCCTTTTTAGCTGGGGATGACATTTCCCCATTAGAAATCAGACCAGCCATTCCGGCCCAGATACAGGCTGGGTGTCCATTTCGGAGTGTTCGTCAGGTAATCCATGCCCAATTTGATGCTCTACATCCGGCCATTGAAACAATTTTGGGAAAACAAACACCATTTTCGAAAATGGCGCTTTATTCATCACTTCCCCAAAAAAGTCAGATGCCTTTCTCCAAAAATATCGGAGACCAAATTTCTATGGCGGAACGGGCCTCCTTGGAGCGACGGCTCCCGGCGGCGCGGATCTGGCGAAAAAGTCCAGATTCCCGCGACTTTAAACAACATACCGTGGAACTGGACAAAAGCTTGAAAAATAGGTAAAACAAAGCTTTAAAACATTGAAATATGGGGAACAAGTGGATCGCATGTGATTCCAACAATGTCTCGGAAGAAAAGATTTGCTCCAAGAATTGGTGAAATGACCATCCAAGCTGAAGTTTGAGTGGTCCTACGACCCACCATTGAGTGAAAGTCCTTTTTTGCACTCCGAATCTCTGAAGGTGACTTGTTAATGCTGTTAATGCACAATCATTCTGATTTGTTCCTATCCTACATTGGTTCTATCTTGCCCATTTCACTCATTCTATTAAAACTAACATGGCGCTGGACAAGAAACAAAAAGGTCGATGAATATCTTCTATTCCAAATGGTGGTTGGCTTTCCATTGCGCTTAATCACTCAAGATGTTAAGAATGCCCTATGTAGTCTAACCTGGCAAATCTGGCAATGACAAATCTCTATCTTTTCAAGTGAATTTCCATTGCCAGGGTAGATTACCAAAAGATAGTTCCAAGGGTTAAATCCTTATCTTGATTTGGCCCAATCCCCACGTTTTCTTGCTTAAACTTCCATTCTTCATGGTCAAATCCGCTTGTTCAACGGAGAAATCTCCATTTTTGCTGCTTGTAAACACCTCCATGTTTGATCCAGTTGGGACCTGATGTCCTGGATCCATGTCCAGTTCATCCCTCACCGCCTGGCGCAAGGCTTCTTGGGCTTGTTCAAGGCGGCATTCCTGTGCCAGGTTTGCGGTTTTTCAGCGCAGAAATCTTTTTTTTGGGGGGGCAAAGCGGAAAAGCCAGCAGGTTCTTTACTGGTTTACCCTCCGGTGAACGTTTACATCACAATTTGTTAAGATCCACCATGTTTAATGGGAAAATCCACTATTTCTATGGCAATTGTCAATAGCTTTTTGTATGTTTACCAGAGGGTATAGGGGTTCCCCAATATACTATTGGCACCCCATAAACCCAAAAAAAAATGGCTAGTAAAATCACCAATATATTTATAGGGATTACACTGGTTTTACTCACCATGGCCCCAGAATTTTCCAGAAGGCTTTTCTTCGCCAGAGACGGGTGAAATGACCCTCTGAACACGATGACCTGGCATCAGTTGAGCCAAGTTTTCCTCAAGCTGAATCTCCTTGAGGTTGATGCAGCCACGGATGCTACATATAATCTATATACATACATACTATATCTACATTATGTATTATTATTGTTATTTATTTATTTAGTTAGTTATTTATTTATTTATATCTATTCATTTATTAACATTGTTTAGTATTATCATTATCATTATTATGTTTTATATTGTATATATATATTGTATATACTACATATGGATATAGGATATAGGTCAACATAGTCGCGCTTCAAATGGTTTCCACTAAGAATTGGCCAGGTTTCAAGCGGTTTTCAGATTATCCACCAATGAAGATGTCAATCAAAAACAAAACATTGGTCTAATGGAGAATTGGTACCCTCTGGTAAACTAACATAGCTATTGAAAATGGCCATAGAAATAGATGATTTTCCCATTAAAAATGGTGATTTTCCATTGTTATGTTAAATTACCAGAGGGTACCCCAACTCCCTATCGTTCATCGTAACTTTCCGCGCTTGCCATGTTGCGCTACTCAACTCATTTCTGAAAAATCCCCCTTCAATAACTTTAAACCCAATCTTTGATGGTTGAATTATCATGGATGGTTCGTTTGTTTGTTTTCAGGGTGCTGAATTGCCCAAAGTGACACCAGAACGACGGGAAAGGATTGGTAATGAAACACAAAAAATGATCGAAATTTCAAGCAAAAAAAAAAAGGAAAAAAAGGAAAAGTCCCAAAAAAAAATGCCAAATGCTTTTTAAGTATGAGGACAAACTGAAGGAAGTTACAAGACAGAATTTGCACCTCCATCAATCTTAGAAGATATGCTTCAATCTTATTGAAATGTTGGCTATATATCCCATTATATCCCAATAAATTTTAGCCATGTTTTGCCACCAAAAAACAGCGAGTTCTGCTGCTTTCCACCTGCACAGCAGACAAGAAGTCCTGGACACTCTTCGCGGGTAGTGCCTGAGCTTCTGACCCATGAAGTGACACAAAAAGTCCCATGGATTCAATAAGAATTTCTCGGGATTCAATTGGAAAATTCTGGAAAATTCTGGCAAATGCTTGGTTAATCATGGTTAATCTGGGATTCAATAGGAATTTCTGGGATTCAGGTGATTTCCTCTTGCTTTTCTTGCTTTAACCAACCATTTACATGGGGGACTTAATCTTGAATTTATACCCGAAATGCTCGGGATGAATGAAAGTCTGCAGGAAACCATGTAGATGTTCCCTTTAACCAATTCTAGGAAACATGGATTCCGGGGAGTTTACCTTGCTTTGACCAACCATTTACATAGGGAGTGTTAACTAACAATAAGATTGGTCAAAGCAATAGTTTCAATAGTAATAGTAATATAAATGATTATATATAGAATTCTGGAATGAGATTATAGCATTGGTCAGCCCATAAGATTGGCCTTGACCATTTGACGAAATCATGGGGATCAGAGTGAGAAAATTGTCCCATTAGATTAAGAGTGGGAATGGATGGGGACACCTTGTTGAAAGGGATCAATGGATCTTGAAACACCGGCATGGAAGGGAACTGATTCAAACTTTCAGCAATGGAATTTGTCCCATAATTGGTAAGTATGAAAAACTATGGGTTTAATAATGAACATAATCCCAGAATAACGGGGGAATAAATGTTTTTTAACCATGACTGTAATCCCATCATAGTCTGATATTAATACAATATAATATATATATATACATATACATATATGTATATATATATGTATATATATACATCCCATAGTAATGTCAACGGCAAGTAATGGTGATTTAAACATCGGAATACCACCCTTGTTGATGGTGATCGATGTTGGATGCTTTGTAATGGAGATACCAGCACTACAATGATGGCCCCGGGTCGCTAAAAACCGAAATTGACGCGCCAATTCACCACCCTTCTGCTTCACTGGGGAAGAATGGCAGGGGCTACCCACTGTGACTAGTGAGGCATACCTTCCAAAGCTTTAGCCTATCAGCTTGGAGCAACCAGTACTATTTCTTCCAGCACAGATTCAATCTTCCCTCCTCAGGGCTGACACTGTCGCATGGCACATTCTTCTTAAGGACCCTAGGGATCCTAGGGAGGTATATAAATATGGTAAATCCAGAATACAGGGTCAGACTTCTGAGACAAAGTTATTCAATCCACTTCTCCGCCTCAGGGTTTGGGAAATCGAACCATGATATTTCTGTTCCTAAGGATCAACTATCCGGGTCTAGAATGGTACCTCAATGACTCTTTCACCCGCATATCTTACTGTTGCTGGTTGCTTCCCATCTTATGCTTATAACCTTCTATATCCCCATATCGGTTCCCATCTCAAGCCATACCTTGTTGCACCAGCCTTCAAGCAACTTTGAGACGGTGGAGTGGGGCGCGCCATGCCGTGCCTTGCATCATCACTGTCACGACAAATCTCAACTGGGAACGGGCCGCTGGGAAATCCAAAGATGATGGGAAACTATAGGAAGATACCCTCTGGTAAACTAACATAGCTATTGAAAATGGCCATTTATAGTGGATTTACCCATTAATTATGGTGATTTTCCATCGTTTTTGGTATGTTTACCAGGCCGGGTAATGGTACACTGTAAAAAAACCATCTGTAACTGGTGAAAAAAGCTCGGAAAATCATCAATTGGAAGATCATCTATTTTTTAATGGGAGACGTTCCAGCAAGCCATATTTCAGTACCGGAGGATAAGTCATGAATGGAAACCCTCTGGACTTGATTTGAAAAAATCAATTTCCTTTGAAGAAACAGTGGGGAATTGTTCCCATCTACCCGGCCTGGCAAACAGCCACATAACGAACTGGAAAATCACCATTCTTAATGGATAAACCCACTATAAATGGTCATGTTCAATAGCTATGTTTGACATAACCAGAGGGTAACAATCCACTGGTGGAATATCAGATATAATATCATGGATACCCTGTCGCTCTAAACTCCTGATTGGCACCCTGGAATCCAGCGACCCGGTTTAAATTGTTGATGCCACTCTTCAAAAACACAACGTCGATACCTGGAATCAGCTGCCTGGGAAAATCCTTCATTCAGTTCGATAAAATGTTCCCATGGATCGCCAAGGGGTTGGAACTGCTACTGTCGCTCTGACCTGGTACCTGGTGACTCCAACTCAGTCTGGTACGACGGTCGCGGGGCACTGCGAAAACCTCAGAACTGTCGACAGATGGCACTGTTTTCCTGAATGCCAGAGCCAGATCTTCGTTTTTGCTGGTGAATTAAAGCCACAAAAATGGTGATGTCAACCAACCAGATTGTGATACATGGGATACAACGATTACCGCTGCGCCTGGAGGAAAGCGTTGGCTCGTTTTTTGACGGCCTCCGGGAAAGACACCTGGGTTTTTTGCGAGCAACTCAAGAACAAAGATTACAATGTGGATATACGTCCACTATTCTGTGTATATTATATATATATATAATTATATATACATAATATATAACCCCGTGACTCACAAAAAGATATATAGAATTTGTTAAAATTGTAACCATGTTAGTAGGATTTGACAAACTGAAGCTTTTTGGAGGCTTGCTACCGTATACAGCCGGCCGGGGCTCCGAGCCAGCTTGCAAACCCAGGCTTTCTTCCAAGTCGTCATCCACTTCCTCTGGGGCTTCACCTGAAGCAACCGTGGCTCCAAAAAATCCCTGTGGTTTATCACAGGATGGGGACCCAGGTCGTGAACGCTAAGTTGGTGCAAATAACTATAATAACAACAGTGTATGATACTTATAACTTTATAACTTATAACTTATAACTTATATTTAGATGGGGTTGTGTTCACCAACAAACATTTCACTGGGGGGGGGGCCCATCCTGCACGATTTCCCACATTAGAATAGCTGGGGGACTACAGCATTGACATGATAATCACCCCCAAAAGTAGGGATATGAAGCTTGGTTTCAGAACGAAAAAATGGAGAGCGGAGTCCGCTCCTTTGGCGCCTGCTTGCAGAAAATTGGTCACGCCACACAGCAGAGTTGGCCAGCCTTGTCGTTCTTTCTCTGCTTGGCAAATGGCCTATTGGCGCGGTGCAAGATGCTAAGAGATCAGAGCTACTGGAGCAAGTCCATCGGCTCCAAAATCGAAACTCTGGAAATAGTAGGAATCATCAACGACAACATCATCGATATGACATCATCGACATTGACATCAACGTCGTCAATCATCAATCATCTTCTTCTTCATCATATCATCAGATGTTTGGCTACTACAAAACAAGCAATTGTAGAAAGGATGCTGTTCATCAACAATGAGGATTTCCCAGACAGTCAGGTTAGATTAACTGTTTCAATTGGTTGGGGTCTCTTGAACTCCATCATCAATCGATGTTTTTTCCGTTCGGAATTTCACCTTCCATGATGATTGAGAAAACAACACGAAACTCCACCATTTTCTACACGTTGAGCCGGGGGAATTGGGCTCCCAACAGCTCCCCATTTAGTGATCTGATCACCATCCCAACAGCTCCCATCTATGGCCGTTTGAGTTCGCCAAAAAAATCAGGTATGAACAGTTTCAAACATTATTCGAAGTGATGGTCGAAGGAAACGCCTAGAAAAAAAAAAGCGAAAACCAGGAAACCACTTTCTGAACCCCCTATGAATCAAAAAAAACAAATGACAAAAGCATGTAAAAGCTGCCAGGTTTATCATTTTTCTCGAAAAAGGTCGGTCTCAAAGAGACCCAACGACTCGGTTCCCGGCTGACAACGTGGCAAAGTGATGCCCCGGGAGACGCCGTGGTTTCCGGGGCCCCTGAGCTCCGCCATGCTCCGTGCTTGGGATTTGAAAAAACGTGGGAATATTCACTAACAATGATGAGGATATTATGGGGATATTATGGGGATATTATGGGGATAATTTTCCGGGATAATCATTTCGTGGGGATGAAAAAAGAAACGTTTTGGTGACCCCCTCACTATTCGGCTTCATGTTTAGAGCAAAGTTTCACCCACAATTTTTTGATATGGTGGATCTTAAGTATCACTGAAAAAGTAGTGACGAACTTCATCACCTGTTTTTTGAATGGATTTTGGCTGGAGATCAGCAAATTGAAACATGAGAATTCACAGGCTTAGGCTTAGTGATTTTCGGAGGACAGATCAAAGATTGACCCATTTTTCATGATCTTGTATATCACTGATGCAACAAATGGAAACACTGACCCAGTGTGGCTGCAAATCAAACAACGGGGAAACTGGAAAGATTGGCAACGTTTTTGCAATTTTGGTATGTAAATCCCAACCAAAAGAGATGGAAACCTGGGTAAAATTGATAGAGATACCGTATCTATGCTCCCTACCAAGTTGGAAAACAAATTTATGTCTGAGCTCCGCACACCTTTGCTATTCCCTTTGGACTTGCCTTTGGCCTCGTTGGAGAACAGAGCACTGAAGCCAGCTAGCTGAAGCGGCAGCTTGCGCTAACACGACACATCCCACCTTGGAACCTTTTCTGGGCTCGGATTCAGGAGCTTCCGCCTCAGCCGTGCGCAGGATCAGAATCAGAATAGCCAAATCTTAGCTAAATCTTAGCCAAACAAGCTGCTGTTATCTTAACTGAATCAGTTTGATCATGACTCCAGCTATGTTTGAAAGGCCACAGCTGGTAGACTCTATCTTTCCAACCAAGGCTCCCAAGAACTTTCTTCTCCCGCTGCCTGTGCGAAGATCTTGGAGAAGTGTCCATTACTGATTCGTTCGCACGTACCCTCCGGTAATCCAATATGGCTAGCTGGGACCCGAACGAAAATAGCTGGGAAAATAAACCATACGGGATCTTCCAACAAGCCATGGAGCTGATTACGGGTATCTGTTGACTCGAAGCATTTTTTCATGAAGCTACCTGAAACAAGAGCTAGTTGTGAAACCAAAATGACCCTTGGTCTCGATCCCAAAATGGACGTCTCAAAGCTCCCAGTGTCTTTCATCATGACAAGACTTTTTCATGGATGCACCGATGATTCGTTTAAAAAAAAATGCGAATGATGAATCATCAGTCCAAAAGTCCTTAAAATTCCCACGCACATACACTCATAGGTGATAAACTGGTCCTGCTGATCTGCCTGTCTGATTCGACCATCCCATGCCAACTATCTATGGGTAAACCCGACGTCATCCCGTGGCTATCAAAATAGGAAGATTCACCAAAATGGGAAATCGCAGGGGAAGGGCTATTTGTTGAGTTGCAAACGGGGCAGTATGAATCATACCCAGAAGAAATCACAGTTACCACAAAGAGATAGAAGTGTGATTTACCACCATTTCAGTAGGAATTTGCCAATTTCAGTCTTTTGTGGAATAGAATTTGGTGTTTTTTTTTGGTCCGGAGCGCCTCTAAAGCCTGAGCACAGCCTACCACGATGGCACAACCAACCTGGATGTTGTCGTGGCGGTGTCCCGTAGAACTGGTGATGGAATGGAATAACTATAATAGTTATAATCATAATTCCCCCTAAATAATCTAAATACCAACCCCTCAGAAACCACAGTTTTTCGTGACAAAGCACATCTTTGGGACCTCAGAAAGCGGATGTTCAATCTTGGGATGGGATTCATGGACATGATGCCCGGCATGCCCCATAAAAAAAAAGTCACTTTGAGAAATAGGGAGCATAGAAACTGGAGCAGCCCTGGTTTCAAGGTGGCTAAAATCATTAGCCAAACAAGCAAATGGTTTGTTTTGGAGAACAGTAAATCATTTTAAATCCCCAAAAGGATCATCCCAGTATCTCCCTGATTTCCTCTCCGCGCCTTCAAGAGGGCTGCCGGATCTGCCAAGCTTGGATTGCTGGCTGGAAGGACTGGCGGTCAAGCGCCGCGGGAGGAGTTCTGAGTTGGGTGGATCTCTATGGGCTAACAGCAAGCACCAATGTGGGTTTTGTATGTTGGACTAGTATTGGATTGGCATATTGGATTATCGATAAATGTGGATTGAGAAAAAAGGGGAAATTCTAACCGGATACCATGACCTTTTCCCATCTATGCGGGTGTCCTAGAGATTTTTTCTGACATTCATTCTTGGATGTGATTGTTGGTGAACTGGGACTCATTATTCAGCCAAATAGAAAGTTCTGTATTTGAGTGGTAGAGTTTGGGAAAATAGGTGGGCCGGTTTCCAATACCATTTACATCCATATGATTTCAGGGATTTTTGGCAGGGAACCAGGAAGTTTTTTCACCCCAACTAGCGGGGTTTCCTGTATGATCATCATCATGGCCGAATTGCCACGCTGCTTGATGGACCATCAAATGGCACCTATTTTTTTAAATAAGGTACCCTCTGGTGAACTAACATAGCAATGGAAAATGGCTATTTATAGTGGATTTTCCCATTAAGAATGGTGATTGTCCATTGCTATGTTAGTTCACCAGAGGGTATCCCCAAATTTGATGTGTTCAAACCCCATTCTCTATGAATAAATCATAAATTTGCCACTCTTTTGGACTAAAAATCCCCCATGTTCTGACACGTTGATCTCTAGTGGATCCGCCATTTGACGTGCCTCCTGGGGTCAACGGCGCGTCCGCATCGGCGCCTGTTCCTTGTGGTACCTCATGAAGCATCTCACGAAGAAAAGTTTCGCATGCAACCAAACCAGAAGGAAAATAAATCAACACAACAGGAAAATAAATAAAAACGATAATAATTGGGATAATAATTGGGTAATCCAATGATATGTTTCCTGAATCCGTGATTTCTCGAAAGTGATTCAAGAAATGACCAGATCCAAAAAAAAAACCAGGGTCCAAGACCACTGAGGATCCAACCGTAGGTGTGCTCATCCAGCCTTTGAGGGCGAAAACAGAAGGGTTTCTTTCCCGTCAACGGCACTAAGGAAATGGTGGAAGAAGGGTTTGTCCTGAAATGGAAGATTTACAGCAGAAATAGCAAAAAATGGTTGTTTCATGTTGTTCCAACCAAATGAGAACTGATCATTGAAGACGGGGATATCCTATTTGGCAACAATCCCATATAAAGGATGCATGACGATGCAACTATAATTGTGAAGTGGAAAAATCCAACAACTAAACCCATTGTTTGAAGCTGGGTTTTTACCCCAAATGGTGAGACGCGGTCATTTCCACCATCCATTGTCGACGCCCACACCCATGGATGTAACCACAGGAATCCAAAAATTGATTTGATCGCATGGATGTAGGTTATACATCACTAACATCCAAAAATGCAATGTTTTTCCCCCAGTTTCTCCAAGTCATTGTCTCACCTTGGTTTCGGCCGGGAATTGCAACTCGACTCAGAACCGTACCCTCACCGGGCTGCGGTTGCCGGTATTTCGCGGTCCCGCCCTACTCATGGATGCGTTCCAAACACTTGAACCATGACATCGCGCAGGTCGTTGGCACCGGCATGTGGATACACAACATGGGTGGTCAATTTTGCGTGGCCTGAAATTCCGCAGGGTTTTTTCCCCGATTTGAATGGTATTTAAACATGTGATGTTGACCCATTTGCCAAGGGCGGTTGTTGCATAGAATCGCAGCAATAACGTTGTTAACATATTTAAAAAATGACTCAAGTGGTCCATGCATTCATGGACTCGAATCTAATCCGAACTTCAGTGAAACATGGGAATTGTTCAATGCTACCAGTGGCGCCATCCATTCAAGCAGGAAAACCATGGTGAGTTCCTGTTGAACAAACCTCCCAGGATCGAATTTATGAACGCGCATCAGGTTCACAAAAACTAGTTTGGGAAAACACCCTTCTGCAGTTTCAAGTGCGCGTCATGATCTCTGCGCTATGACTTTGTTCCGGTCTTGCTGTCCGTTCCTTTGAAAACATAGCACCCAAGAACAAACGTTGTTAACTGGGGCCGAGGCAATCATTCCCCACATCGCTATGTGGGGTTTTATTTTTTTGTTCGACATCCGCCGTCCGCCTCCGTCCGCCTCCCGCCGTCCTCTCTATCAACTTCTGTTTCCTTTGCTTGAGATACAAGCGCCTCACGATAAGAACTGATACTACACTGATCAAGTCTATGTGACATGGGTTGCCACCAATGCCATGAAACTACCACTGCACATCTGCCGTAAATGGCATGCACCCCGCCTTGATGCATGTGCAAACAAGGCATCAATCACTACTGAGATCTTTGCATCCTAGCAAATGTTGGAAATTGTGAGTGGCCAAAAGGTAACGCCGCTGGGACACGCATTGCCGTGCCACTTCTTGCAAGTGTCCTTTTAGGACTACCTTCGGCTTCACTTTCATCATGAGGTGAAGCTACAAATGAATTCCATGGATGGACCTCAGCATCTGTGTCAGATTCACTGCTTTGACCATGGTGGTACACCATCCATTCTTCTGGATCGCTCACCTCGCACATTGCACTTGACATGTATCTGCGGCCACGCTCACTCTGTGTCTCCGTTTCCACATCAGAATCTGTCTGCATCTTTTCTTCGGCTGCTTCCTGTCCATTTGACGACAGCATGCTAACCATTGCATCGGCAACTGCGTTCACATGAGAACTGGAGGCAGGAACAGTGTTGGAGTTTGTTGCCAAAGTTTCGACAAGCTGCGCGCCAACATCCACTGCTCGTTGGGCATCATCCAGCACTGCGCACATATCGTTCGTAAATAGACCATTGTTTGGAAATTCCTCATCTGAGGAGATGTCGCTCATACTGCGGGTCATCTGACTCGCTGCAAACCTCAGCTCGTTGTCGTTGCTGCGACATTCTCTCATCACAACACGCAAGACACCAAGCCTTTCAGCGTAGAGCGTTCTTCCAGCATCTGTTGTTGCAGCTTTATGACGCATACATCTCTCATACATCTAAGTGAGCATTGCCTCTGGCGACCATGTATCTCCAGAAGTGGAAGATCTCTTGCAATCTCAAACCTTGGCATACCTGAAGCATCTCTGTCACCAGTACGCACAGTTGACTGATTTGAGCTGCTTGCCCCTGAACTGGAGCAGTCATTGCTGCTTCCAAGCGTGTGTGGGTTTGGAGGCATGTAGGAAAGTGCGGGCACTGTTGGAGCACCATACGTGTCATGCAAGCCAGGGTCTGCAGCATCACCACTTGAGATTGCTGTAGGTTCTGTGGGTTCTTCGGGCTCATGTTGTGTCACACTCATCGCAAACCAACCAAACCATGAAAATACCAACGGCAGCATCATCAAAAAAACGAGCACACTTGTAAAGACCAAAAGACCTCTGTCATCCGCAGCTGAGCTTGGTCCATCACATCCTCGGAAACTCAGCAGGCTCCAGGCGCAAAGAAGAGCGCGAACGTTGTAGCCCTTGACGAAAACCTTTCCGGGGTCATCGCTGCCTTCAAGTGCTCCTGTGTTTCGATTGAAAAGTCCGAGCGCTGCCATCAACGACTTCAGTCTTGGTGCAGATAGGCGCTTCGTCCCAATGTCTGCTGGATTTGTGTTTCCACTGACACTGCAAAGTCTGATTGTGCCACTTGACACCAGGGACTGCAACCACAAGATTCTGCAGCTCAAATGCCTGAGGTGGCACACTCCTTGACGTTGGAGTATGCCCTTTGCACCGCTGCTGTCTGTGTATGCGTAGATGGTTGTTCTCATAAAGTCTACAACCGTCTAGAACACCAAAGGCCACAGGCGAAGTCAAAGCTTCAATCCTACAAAAAGAATGTTTCAACCCTCGGCTCCTAAGAAAACGCCAGCTTCGGTCTTTTCGCTCGGGCGCAACACAAAGGAGGCAAACAAACAAGCGGGACACACCCGCAAGAAGCAAAACCCCCAAACGTGTTCGTACTGTACTGCTGACTGTGAAACTACAGCTCGGTTCAATTCTGAACTTCATGACACTAGAGCTCCCTCGAGCCAATGTCTATTGAGGAAACGCAATTCCTGGTTCAAAATCAGCCTTTTTCCTAAAAGGTTGATGGATCAATTCCAACTGCGTTGAGTCACAAATTCAGCTAGCTACAAAAAATTGATCTACTTCCAAAACTTCTCAAATAGTTCTGGTGCTCATGCAAACATGAATCACCAGGTCTCTATACAATCAAGAACGAAGCAGATTCTCTCTGATGTTCTATACAATGTTCTTCTGGTTCACAAAACCTTCCCAAACCTCGTGCTTCTTCTCCAAAATATCTTGTTCAGCCAAAATAAGTTCCAGCATCCCAAAACACGATGGAGAGCAGAAAGTTCTGCTCTACACCCCACAGCATCCAGTAAAGTCAGTGCGTAGCAAAGTCGACGAAATCACCGAACGCCATGTGGTGCAGAATCACCAGAGAGTAGAATACACACTCGGATATGATGATGCCTCACGCATGTCAATCGCATCCCAGCACATAGTAGGATGGAAACCAAATGTCCCAATCGCAATTCCATGTCAAGGTTCAGCTCCCATGGATGAAGCTGGATATGAAAGCATACAGCGGTAGAGATCAATCATCTCAGTTGCCACTAAAACAAGAAGAAGAGTCATCCATTGTATTAGTACAAGGCAATGCAATGAGCATTGCCACGGGCACCTAGTTCACAATCAGGTGTCTCCATATAGTACCGGGTCGTCAAAACCGTTGACGTCCACCACAGATGTTACAAGAGCAATGGGCTGACCATTGCCATGAGCACCTCGATGTCAATCAGGTGTCCACAGGACAATATTGACAGTCCCATGGTGTATCAAACACCATGTCATCACATCCACGTAGAATACATTGTGCCTTAACGCACTATGTATGGTGCATTTACAGAATGCCAAGATCCAAAGTTGGTGGAGCAATAACAAAACGTCGGGGCCAAAAAACTAGCAAATAACCACCAAATTCAGGCCTGACAATGCCATTCTGCACCGCTGAGAACGTCAAGTGGCTTCATGAAGTTCTCAATGGTGAAGGTCATAACTTCCGTTTAGCTGGTCATGCCACAACCTTCAGATATTCACTTGCTGCACGGTATTGCGGAGGGTGCACTAAGAAGGCATATTTCCACACCCCCTTTCGGCGTCCACAATATCGGTCTGGCAAACCACAGTCTCTGACCCAAATCTTAGTTGATGCCAGAGTCCAAAGTTTGCGATGATGAAAGCCAAAAATAGTTCATCAGTGAGCCATATGATCGGATCATCCGCATCAATATAACTCAAAACTTGCTCAATGATCCCCGTGTAGACTGATCATTCCAGCGTTTGTCTCGCAAACATACATCCAAATATCACCATGAGAAAACTTGACTGCAAAGGAGATCACTGTCGCCAAAATCCAAAACCGAGGATTCACTGCCCACTTCTAATGGTAACCTTTCTTCGTCTCAAATTCCAGTTCCAGAGCTCCCATCCAGTTCAGTAACGCAAGAAAATAATACAACCAAACCATAGAAGGAGCACGCACCCAAAGACAGGTCCTTCCAATGCTCTCATCAAATGAGAATATCTCAAAAAACTAGACGACGGATGGCCCGAGAGCGTAGAGGAGCAGGGTCTTCTGTTGTTAGTATGGAGACACCATATTACAAAACAATATATTAAAAATGTATTATAGGCAAACGAGAAGTGCGGAAAATTCAAACCCAAGTTGGTTCAAAAATCCTTTCTACGTAAATCCCAGGACCTACACCCAGATGCAGTTCCTACAACCTACGCACAGCGAAGTTTACGCAAACGCGGTTCCCACACACAAGCTCTCAGGTTCGGAACAGCTCAACCCTTTTGGACGCTCTCTCAGAGGTGCGGTAGCAAAAACACGAACCAAAGCAAAAACAAACAAGCAAGATGGACTAAACCACGTGACTGTCTCAGACTACTTCTTTGCAGTTTCCTTGGCTTTGAGCCAAAAGCAACCATACAGCTTGACTGCAACAATTGTTTAAACGTTCAAGATCCGAAGATCTTTCTCAAAAAACTCTCTTCAACTAACCAGAGATAGTCAACATCGACACTGCGGTCTCTGATGCCCCCTCAGACGACCGGCAACCCATTTTTGTCATCTCACTATGATGACGGGTGCTCGGTCAGTTGTCATCATTGAGGTACATCGGCAACCACCGTCTCGATGTTAACCTGTCAACCAACAAACTCAAAACGACGTGTCGACTATTCACAGTTACACACTCAGCTACAAAAAAACAGCCACTCTAAACTCAGTTTAGTCCAAAGTTCAAAGTTCAAATCGGTTCGTCACAGTGCGGAAACTTTCTATGAAAGTTTCCCATAAAAGTAAAGTTCACAGAACGCAACTTTCGCTGAAAAATTCTGTGGGTTTCTGGAAACTCCATTCCAGGTTCTTTGAATTCATAAACACTTTCTATGCATACGATTCCACTTGCATTCAAATGTTCCCATTCTTGAATTACTTCAAATGCACTCGTGCAT